TGATGGCCACATCTAGAGAAGCAGTGCTATTTACAGTTTTAGTATATTCAATTAGGGGCATTTGACTTTCATTAAATACCAAGGGGGAATTCACATATTTTGACCTTTTTGTGGGTTTGAAAATACGTCATACAAAAAACTGAAAACCACATCAAAACCCTGTGCATTCACTATTATTTCTTACAAGATTTACGAGAATTGATTTGCTGTCAACTGAATCAGACAATATTTCTTCACTGTAATCACTCTTAGGATCTAAACTTACTTCCACAAACATCAACACTTTTTGGCAAATCGTCTGATACTTGAATACTTGCTTAAAGATGAATTTTCATTTAATCTTTTGCCATACTGAATAATATCAGTGTTTTCACTCGCATTAATATTTCATTGTTCCACTTCGAGACACACGGTTAAACAATACTCACAAGCAAGGAGTTAAGATGTAACTTATTAACTTTTACTATTTTTATCGTCCAATTACATGTCGGAGCCATTCCTGTATTTAGTCGCTAGTTAGTGCTTTAAACCATACGCTCTACGGTTCATTCTACGCACGCGCGCACACTTCACGCATGCACTGTAGTGGAACTGCGTTTTGTGACTGAACGCAAAAAGAAAACAAAAACAACAAAAGACGAAGCCGAATTTATACCTCGGGCTTTTCCTTCGGAAAGCCCGAGTAATGAGCAAAGTTGGCGAAGGAAAAACCCGCGGCAAAAAAGATAAAGCTGGAAAAACTCCTGAAAAACAAAACAGCGAATCGTCAGACAGCTTAAGGAATACCCCTCATCGCTGATGAATGAGTTCCCTCGGGTAGGTTTATTTATGATTTCATACGATTCGAGGCGATTGCCTATGTTTTTGTATCAAGGGTGGTATTTGCTTATAGAAGGGAAACTTCGTTTTTGACCTTATGTACGACAAATTTAGATTTGATAGGGACTTTTTTGCTCGCAATTTGGATGTCAGCGCGGAGAGGAGTGCTAGGATTGTTTTTTTTTCCTGCCAAAATGGTGCCATTTAATTTCTCTCTTTTTTGGGCCTGTTTTTTTTTTTTTTTCTTTTTCTTTGCCCAAAGACTCCTCTCCGATTTTGACATGTTTTTTATCCATGAGAAAAGACTTTCCACAAGCAGAGAACTTCCACGTGTGAATGTTATCAAGTGCGCGATGTAAACGAAATATGCAAATAACATGAAATTGCCGCGATATTCCCCAGGAGGTTTGCCCATTTACGAGATTATGACTCCTTCCTGATTTATTAACCTTCAACTGAAAATACGTTTTCCTAAATAAGTCGGACGCTTTTTGAGATTTTGAGATTTTTCTTTTTGTAAACGTTAGGTAACTTCAATCCAGTCCAATAAAGGAAAAAAACCATTTTTTTTGGCCTCTGGATGTGGGAAGTAACCTTAGAAGTCTTTTTCCTAAGGAGTTCGAAAATAATTAAGCGCCATTTTGTACGGTTGCCTTGCATTAGCGACAGGAGCGCTTTGAAGTTGCCCATATTTTCAACTTTCAAGGTTAGAAACACGCCATCTTGGATTTGACGTCAGTTATGACGTAGCAATTCTCAATCTTTGTTCTACACTTTGTCCTAGTTAATAAACGGGGTAAGTTTCTAAAGAAACTGTGGTGCAGCGTCGGTGGAGGTAACACGGTAGTTTGGTTAAATCAACTAAGTTGAAACTGTAAATTGGCCACCCTTCGTCAGAGCGGAAAGCCGCAAAACTCTTGAACAAAAGTTTATCTTTCAAATGGGCACTCCTAATCCCATACGCTTTCACTCTAATTTATTCTTGTTTTTCTCGTCACCATGTTCCCACCAATAGCGTGGCTCCACCTTCTGCATATAAACACACACCCAACCCACAATTCCTTCATTTGCTCTGACGAATGGCTAACGCACAAAACGTCAGCTTTTTAACTCTTTACTGTGGCCACGGACGCAGCACCACAGTTTCTTTAGAAACTTACCCCCTGTTTCCCGAGTAGTCTTCCCGTTCTTGTAGGTAGTGCTGAATGAGACTCTCAACGCTTTTCCTATTCTGTTTTTTCCCTCCAGTTGAACACTATGAGTCACCTTTCCCGTATCGGTTTTGTGGTGTTTGGATTGGGTCGTGCGGGTACCATCCATTCTATGAATCTCATACGAAACCCACAGACAACCCTGAAATGGATCGTAGATGTTGACGAAGACAAGGCCAAGAAGTTTGTGACAGAAAATTTCGCGGATGCACAAGTTACTGCCCCATCGAGCATGGACAGAGCATTACTTGATCCAACTGTTCAGGCTGCAGTGATAGCCACTCCAACTGATATGCACGAGGATATTGTAATGCGCTGTTTACAAGCTGGAAAAGCTGTCTTCTGCGAGAAACCAGTTGCCCCCACCTTTGAGGCTATAGGTAAAAACTTATGCAGATTCCCTTCCCCACTAGATCGGTTGGGTTTTTTCTTTACTTCTTGTCTGACACCAAATTCTTTCCCACGGGAGGATTGCTTTTTAGTACTCAATATTAGATATTTTATATTTACATGTGTTGAAATATTTCCAAGCTTATTTAGGCTCCAGGATCAATGAAAATTTCTGAGTTTTCTGAGTCAAAATTTGAATTTTTCTTCATCAAATGTTCTTGGATGCGCTCCTGTCTTCCGTTAATTTTTTTTTCTTCCTCGTCACATTTGCATGACTTCTTTACCCCCTTCCAGCTTTTATTGTTCTTCGAGCGTCCCTGCGCGATGCCACTACTTAAAGAATAAAGTCATGCGAGATACGGCACGGAATGACCTTCGTCCATTACCTGTTGATATAAATAATTTTTAGAATTTCCCTAAGAATGTGGTAAAAGAATCTGTAATTATGATGATTGCAACTGCAGTGGATTTCTTTTCTATCACCATAACGCCATTACTGATTTGAGAGGCTGAAATGGGGGACACGCTCACAAACATGCCATTGTATCAGTTGTGCTTACTAATTGGTTGACTGGGTGTAAATTTATTTTCTGTTTGGCTGTTGAACTAGCTGAACAATTGGTTCGCTGGCCGTGTGACTAATTGATTGATTGAGTAATTTATTCATTTTTTGACTATGTTTCTCAGAGCATTGTTACAAAGTAGCCGACAACCAAAACCTTCCATTGTTGTGCGCCTTCAACCGAAGATTCGATCCAACAATTCGCTCCGTGTTCGACAGAGTTCGAAAGGACGACATTGGCAACGTTCAGGTTGTTAAGACAACAAGTCGAGACTCCCCTCTGCCATCAGAAGGCTTTCTAAGGATTTCCGGGGGGATCTTCCACGACTGCTGTGTGCATGACGTAGACATTATATGCTGGATGCTGGGTGAAGCTCCTCATACGGTCTTTTGTCTCGCCCATGCTTTCCATTCGCACATCGGAGCGATGAATGATGTGGATACAGTTGGGGTGGTCATGAAATTTCCAAGTGGCGCCATCGGTCAGATAGATCTGTCACGCCATGCTGTTTATGGTTATGATCAACGCGTTGAAGTATTTGGATCTGGTGGAATGCTCACTAGCGACAATCAAAGCACTCTTGGTGCGACCTATTTTCATACCAATGGGAGCACGCAGAATCCTATCAAATTTTCGTTTCCGCAACGTTATTCCGAAGCTTACGACTTAGAACTGAACCATTTTATTGACGTAATCAAACAAAAAGATGATTTGCTCATCTCAAAAGATGACGTGCTTCGATCATTTAATGTCGTGGAAGCTATTGAGAAGTCTTTCCAGACAGGACAGCCAGTCAGTTTATGAGAAGACATTATTGACAACAACTAAAATCAGCAATTAATTACATGAAATAATGACAATTATTAGCGGTGGTTTTTCCCTTAAATGCTAAAAATGTTGAATTTTATTTTACTGAATTCCCTCTTTTATGGTTGTGAGAAAATTGAAATAATCACTTCTAAATGCAAATTTGTCGGACAGTTGATTGAACTTCACCGAGAAACGCTAGAGTTTGACTAATGGTCGTGGGTCGTGGGTACAAGTTGTGGGTCGTGGGTGTGGGTAAACGTCGTGGGTGTGATTAATACTTAACAATAACAATTATCATTTGAGTAGTTTTGTTCAGGTCAAACGCTTGATCAACACACAAAAAAATAATCTTGCAATGAAAAGAGAGAAGTGTTAAACTTAAAAGAACAACGTTTTCAGAACATGAAAGAAGCTTCAAGGATCAGAAACACGGCTATTGGCCGTGTTCTTGAATTAAAATTAAATTGTGTTCTCAGTGCCGGTTAAAAATAAATGAAGTTTCAAAAGTAAAAGTAGATCCCTCTGCTGGTTAGGGAAAATAAAGCTTGTGTTGATCAATGACATTCAGACAAAGAGCCGAATGCTTCTTTAATTGTCATCTCCGTATCGCGTACCATCTACCCCGCATCTAAGAAAAAAAATGAAGTGAAACAGCGAACTGTTACAAGATTAGCCGATATATAGATAGCAACGTTGCAACGTTAGTTGCAGGTCTGGAGATGTTGGCTCTAAAATTAAGGTTTTTCCAAGGCACGAAAATATAAAATCTCTGGTATCCAGTGTGCGGTACAATCGTCAACCGGAAATCGCAAGCCAATGTTAAATTGGTCGCGACAACTGGCATCGGTGACAAGAAATTAAACGAAGAACCAATTAGTACAATCTTAAAAAGTTTTCTTCGTCCATTTAACTGGCCAGGTCCTTTTCTAAATCACAAAATAAACTAGATGTGAAGAATTAGTGAAATAAGTAAATTAATAAATAAAGAATTTCTAATAATTTCAATTTTTAAACGATTCATTTCTTATCTGACAAAGACCAGATTCTGCAGAGTTGCGAAATGTGACGTACTCAAGAAAGATACGTTTCATTGTCCGTCGAGAAGTATTGCATTACTTCACGGTAGCTAATGAAAGTCATGTTTCACGTCTTGTTTTGAGACGCTTACAGGATAAATTTTTGGAAAAGAAGAATAACAACGGTTCAAGTCACGTTTCGCGAAAAAGGCCAGTCATTTCGCAATTTCCATGAAGAAAAGGCGATTCAACGTTCACGGCGATATAACCAATTCACCTTTAAAACCAGCCATAGGGCCCTTCACGATCACGAAAAAACCCTTTTCCACTACAAAAATAACAGTAATTGACTATTAGTAGTAATACTATTAACATTATTAAATATGAGCTCTTAACCATTAATTGTGTGTATTACCCACACCCATGACTTGTACCCACGACTTGTACCCACGACTCACGACCAATAGTCAAACTGGAAACGCTCATGTCAATGATGGTTGCCATATCATATTCGACAAGCCAGAGCGGAATAATCAAATTGTTTGAATAAAAACACACAAAGAAATAACTCTGCCAACTAGCTCTCATGGAGTTTGACAAAGACCGGTAGAAAATTCGCTTGTTGCAAATGTTATCTCGACATGTAAATAAATCATGTTAGGCATTTAGCAAATATAAAACTGCTTAATTTTCCGTTGCATTCCCACAAATATTTTCAATCCGAATTGAGTAGCTTTTTTCATGGATATGGGAGTCACATTTTCTATTAGTTCTGTTATTTCTTTAGTTGTATCCTCAAGAAGCAAACCGACTCTTTTTCCGCCACTGCTTCACGGATATTTACGCAACCAATCGGCAGAATAACGGAAAAGCCTGACACGCTTTTGTTGATTGATGCCTTGTAAATAAGGCTGAGCAGCCATTTTGTTCCCTCGGTTGCGGGATCCGATTCCCGCTAAATTCAACAGAAGGACCCTCGTTCTTTTCACGCCTTAAAGGCTCCTGATACTCCCTAGATAAAAAAGAATCGCCTCAATTACATTTTTATTGTAAACTGCATTCATTAACCTTTTTTTTTTTATGTGTAGTTTGTTAGGGGTTTCTTAAAAGTAGCGCACCAGTACTCAGTAATTTTTTTCCCGGAGGACAGCCGCGAAGGTGGGAAGTAACCTTAACTGCCAGAAGTTCGAGTGCAAAACAACAAAGTAGCAAGCGCTAGCATACACAGTGAGCTAGCATACACCATCAGTACACGGTGAAAAACGAAAGATTCGCGTCAGGGGAATTATTACTTCATTATGTTTTTTTTTTT